ACAACATTTAGGGTTGCTTTTTGTTTTTTGTGATGCCTCTGCTCGGGGAAGGGTTTGGCGGCGCAATTTGGCGGTTTTGATTCGACGAGGTTGATGAAATTTGGTGTGTGAATCTTTGTTGGTGAGCCGATCGTGGTGTGAGGCCCAGAGAAATGGTAGATACAGTTTTGCATCCAGCTGCAGCCATCACTTCTTTCTATAGGGTTTCGGAGACGAGATCTTGCTGCTTGTGGGCTTGAAGTCAGGATTGACGCAGGCCGGCCGCAAACCTGGTGAGAGTTTGGGAGGAGGCCGTTTCAGGATGAGGATGTTGCCGTTCGGGAATTGACGGTCTTGTGAGGAGTGGAAGTTTATGGGTTTTGCGGGTGGGAACCCGCCTTATTCTTTGCCGACAAATATGTGCTTCCTGTGATTTTTTCGGATATACGATTGGATGGTTTAGGGGTAGAAGATTTCGGCTTTAAGGTTTCAGGTGCAGCTTTGAGGTTGGCCATTTGGCTCGAGACCTGATTGTTTGTGGGCTTGAGTCGATAATTGAAGGTGCGAAGGTGTCGGTCTTAGGTCGGCCGCACCCGTGTTCATGGTCAGTGCATCCGCTTTTTGCGTTTAGTTCAAGGTTTCCAATCCGGTTTGGGGCTCGTAGTTTCGGACTTGGTGGTGGGGCTTCATTGGCTTCATTGTCTTTCGGGTTTGGGAAGCGTCTCTGTTCGAGTTGTAATTGTTTTCCGTCGTAGGCTTCAGCCGTGGTTTGCCATGTTTTATATACAGACAGACAGGCAGACAGACAGACAGACAGACAGACAGAGCCAGCCAGGCAGGCAGCCAGGCAGGCCGGCAGGCAGGCAGGCAGACAGAGACACACACAGTTGATGAGTCTTGGGTGTGCAGGTCGTGGTGTGAGGCTCGAAGGTTTTTTAAGGTTGGGGATGGTTGTTTGTGGGTGCTAGCCATCTGTTATTTTCGGGCTTCGGGATTGAGATCTTTAGTGTTGGTGGGCTTGAGTTGAGGATTAAGGGTCTGGGTCGAAGGTTTTGGGTGTAGGCCGGTCGCACGCTTGATTGGGGTCCAACTGCTTCGGGTTTCTGTTCTTGTGCTACAACGTGTGTGCTCGCTACCGGATGGGTTTCTGTTTTCTTGGCATGGGCCTTGCTTGATCTTCACAAATGGGTGCCACCCATCGTTGGAAACGTGGGATGACACGGACTGAGTGGTGTGAGGCTCGAGATATTCGTGATGTTGGGATCGATTCCGTTTGCAGTTCGGGATGGCTTTGCGGTCCGGCTTGCTTGCTGCCAACCATCACTTGCTTCAGGCTTCACTGCTCGAGATCCGCTTATTGTAGGCTTGAGTTGAGGCTTTCAAGTCCAGGGCTGGTCTGGTGTGGAGCTTGCGTTTTGTCGGGTGTGGGAACCCACCTTATTGTTTGCCGACCAAACTGAGCTTCCCGTGATCTCTTTTCGGTTTTAGTTTTCGGGTTTAATGTTCGACGTTTGGATGGTTTAGTTAGGTGTTGAAGGTTTCGGCTGCACTGCTACAGGCGTAATAAGTTTCGTTTTTGTCATTGTTTTCCGTAGCAGGGGTTCGCGTTCCAAGGTAAGTTCCCCAAGCAGTTTACTGGATGGTTTCTTAATGATTTAGAAACGAATGCCGACGCTTTGCACGAAACCCTCAATCCACAGACCTTGAAGACTGAACGCTGCAAAACCTATGGCAAGCGCGCACCTTTAACACAAAAGCAGAAAGCATAACACATGTGGCTGCCCCTGTCCCCAAACATGTGTGCGACCGACCTACAAGCGAAACCTTCGCCCCCTAACTGTCAATCCTCAACTCAAGCCATCACAAACCGTTAAACTAAACCCCAACATGGCAACCTCCGTGCTTCAAACAACAATTTCGAACCCTAAGCGGAGTCAATTAGGTTTTTGGTCAGACTAGGATTGTGCAGACGGTTCGTGTTTGCTCGCATTCAAAGGGTGGGCTCTTGTTTTGCCGTTCAGGCCAGCGTTCTCCGGTTGAGGTCGATTGGCTGTTGGTTTTCTTGCTTTACCTGGGCTTGCGACCAATATTCGAGATCTGGTTTGGCACGGGTTTTGCGAGTTCGGGTTTCGCAACTCGCGAGGGTTTTCGTTGTGTAGGGCAGTTCAGGATTGCTGTTTGCGTTCCGGGGGTTGCTAGATGCTAGCCATCTACATGGGTGGCCTGAGTTGAGGGGTGAAGGTGGAGGGCCATGGGTTTGATCGCACACTTGTTTGGGTCAGGACGGTCAGGGCAAATTTTTTAGGGTCTAGCGTTTTTCAAGTTGCCGTCTCCGGTTTGGGACTCAGAGTTCTGGTCCTGGTGGCGGGGCTTCACTGTTCTGCGGGCTTGGGAGCTGCTCTGTTCGACAACTTGAAAGTTTAGGAGTTGAAGGTGTGGGCTTTAAGGTTGGCGCGGTGGTCTTCGCTTCAGAAAGGCTGCTGCAGCGCCCCTTAATTGTTTAGGGCTTCCTTTCTTCAGTTTCCTCACCCTTCCTCCGTCCCGGTTGAATCTTGGTAGCGGTTTGTGATTGGGTAATCAGTGGTACAGCTGCTGGTGCTTCGCACGCTCTTGTGGTAAGTGGCCTTTGGCATTCGATACCCTTGTGTCCTTGACCAGTTGCCCGAACTGCCAGCAATAACGGGATATCACCATACGCCGTTTCCTGGCCACATGCAGGCTCCGTCCTACCTGGGCCCATCTCGTGAAGCATGATACTACTTTTCTACGGCCTGGCGATGTGGATATTGGTTTCATGCAGCATACTCTCAGTTGTGATGCTGATTTAGGCATCCTGGGCTTTCGAGCAGAGTTTGTTGGCGGAGCCGTTGTGGCCATGGCAATTCAACTGAGGGCCGAACACTCCTAACGCCAACGGCCGCGTTTCAGGATTAGGGGTTTGAAAGACAGCTTCCTGCATCTCACGCTGCCGGCGATTCTGTTTGTTTCGAATCGCTTCAATGAGGCTGCTCAGCCTCTCTTGAAACTTCCGACATGCAAGTGCACGGTGGTAAGTTTCAGCCTCAGCTTCCATGCGTCAGTTGTTAGCAGTGGTCTTAAGGTTTAGCCTTTGTTTTTGGTTCGCGATGTCGCTTCAGATTAAACTCGGGGTATTGGCCCGAGGGGCTTGATGTGGAGCGGCTTAAGTATCTGTGCGTTCTCGGGTTACCATTATTGTTTGTCGTGTACTCGTCATCGCCTTCGTCGTGCTGTAGCATTCAATGAGTTCAATGTTTGGGCTACGGTTTGTTGTGGGTACTTTCGTTCCCTTGGTTGTTTATAGCGTGTTAGCCCTTTCGTCTTTACGGTCCTTTGGCCCATGCGCCTTCTAAAGCTGAGCTTAAAGGTTCATGGGCATAGAGGTCCCCGGTGTCGGCTTTAGGGTGTGGAGCCGTGTTAATTGCAAGTTTAGTTGGAGACATTTGTTTATACAGTTGCTGTGCAGACGGTTTTTGTTTGCTCGGGTATCCAGAGGTCTTGTCGCAGTTTTTGCCGTAGAGGTTGTGCTAGCAACCACTCCGTGTAGGATTCACGGTTCGATGTCGGATTGTTTATGTGTGCTGGGTGTTGCAGCATCTGCTCTGTTCGTGGAAAGGTTCGGGGTTTTTATTTGACCAGGTTCTTGAAATTGTAATTATTTGAATGCCCAGGCGAGGGTTGTTGTTTTGGGCTCCGTGTAGGAGTCACCTTCAGCCCTTGATTAATTTTACGGTTTCGAGATCTTTTTGTTTGTGGGTTTGAAGTCAAGATGGACCGCACACCTCGTGAGGGGTTCAAGGTTTACTTGCCACTTCCCATTTTGGACTTCATCGACACATCTGCGACGTCTGATTTGACATAGGTTGTTTGCTTTTTGTTTGTGAGTTTTGGGTGTGCAGGTCGTGGGATTGATGGATGGTTCTTTGTAGTACGGGGATAGCTAGCCCACATTTGAGCATTTTGGGTTCAGGATTGAGGCTTTAGGCGCGAAGGCTTCGGGTGAAGGTCGGTCGCATTCTTGTTTGGGGTCAGGCGAAGCCACCTGCTTCACCGCTGTTGTTTTTTGCTAGAAATTTGTGAAAACAACGGTTTTTTCGAGGTCAGTGTTCGAAGTCTATGGGGGTTGGAGGTTTAGGCTCCAAGGACTCAAGCATATTGGCATAGGTCTCAACCTCACTATTGTTGCACATTTGGGGCGTTGGCAGCGTTCTTCGGGATGGGTTTGTTTTTGGCTTAGGTGATTGTTCGGGCGCGTGTTGTGCGGACGACATCTGCTGTTTTTGCGCACAACAGGGTCGGCTTCTGGTTGTTGCCGTTCAGGCTTTGCTAGACATCACTCGGTCCATAGGGCTCACCCGCCAAGGTCAGTTTGATTTTGTGTTAAACCGATTCTGTTGTTGGTTTGCTGGCATAGGTTTTGCCTCATCTTTACAACAAGACTCAATTTTTGCAAATCTGATTTGACACAGGGTTCTGTGTACAGTTCGGGATTGTTGTTTGCGGTCCGGGCTGCTAGCTGCTAGCCATCACTCTTTTAGGGTTTAGGGTAAGAACATTTGATTTGATTGTTTGTGGACTTGAGTCGACGATTGAACGTCCAGTGCCGAAGGGTTCACATGCAGGCTGGTCACGCACCTGTTTGGGGTCAGGGCATCCATTTTCCGCTTGGGACTCAAAGCTCACTTGCTTTTCGGATTTGGGAGGCCGTTTGTTCGACAGTTTGGAGGTTGGGGGGTTGAGGTTTTAGGTTCCAGGGTTGCTGCAGTAGGTTTCAACCATGCCTTGCCATCCTTTCCATGCGTCAGGGGTTGGCAGTGGTCTTGGTGTTTTGAGTTTGATTATTGGTTTGAGCAGTCGACGTGCCCAAAACATGTACGAAAAAAATCGAAGCACGGACAACGAGAAGTGGCCGCTTGACTTCCGCGAGACAGCTTTTCGAAAGTGACTTCGCTCCTGGCTGCTTTGCTTGACCGCTCACTCATATACGGGCAGTTTGATGCCAGGTAGATCTGTTGGCACCACGTGGAGTCATATTCCCGACGAATTGTTTGGCGGCCCCGGACTTAACAGGTCCGTAGCTTCGGAATTTTGCTGTCTGCTTGCATAAAAACAGGATGGCATGGAGGTTGTGTGCGCCATGTTTCCGGCTTATGCAGTGATTATGCAGGGCTCAGAGGAGGAATTCCTGATTTTCAATATCCGGACAGGGAAGCAAGCACGGATCGCTCGCGGTCGCAATGATACGTAACCGTGCATGCAGTGTTGGAGGCGCCTGGATAGGAAGTCCGATGCTGCATCGCTCCGTCTGCAAAATTTCGAATAAAGTTTGAACACCATTCCCGGTCGATCGTCAAGCCAAAAAGAAGTCAGGCCTTGCATCCCACATGCCCGGAGAGGAAGCAAGCGCACCGTGCAAAGCACGGTCGTCCTGGATGAGAACGTTGTTCACGCATCAAGCTTCCACGTTTCCTCACGTCCTTCCTGTCTTTCTGATTGGCAATCGTGTTGTCCCAACCTCTGCATCCTCATGCTGCTTGGTGCCCAGATTGCATTGTGAGCTCACATGCGTCTTGAGCTTTGGAAGAGAGCCTTTTGGCCGTCGTCCCACCCCAAAGAGTCCTAGAGATGTCCTAGAAGACACAGTCTTCTTACGGTGGACAAAGCGGAGATCCGCTGCTGTTTCAGCGGTTTTGGCAGTACCTAGGGGGAAATGCCCGAGGCATCCAGTCGCAGCGTCCTGAGCTGCTCCGCAGCGCAGTATGATGTCTGCGACTGAGGTTGACACGCTGTGTTGAAAGTTGAAACGGTCTAGAGTTTGGCTGGCAGCAGTGCGCTCTGTGTTCAGAGTGGTCTAAAGCTCTAAAGGCCGGGAGAATGCAGCTGACACTGACGTTGACGGTAGCAGCTACCATCGAACGATCTGTCATGGACATTTCCATCAAGGCGCCGCTTCCTCAGCTTGCAGATTATTGCATCGATTTGCATGTTTTCGAAAAGTGCAGCTTTAATCCCAAGGCAGAATCCTGCAAGCACCGATCCTGACGAATGGACTCCCTGGCTGTTTACGGTCGGAGGCGTCAGCGGACCAGCTGTGTCGGTGCCTGCAGGAACCGGTGGCTTGCAATCGGGCGTTCTGGAGAACTGCAGGTAGCTGCCTCAGCCGAGATTAGAGAGACTGAAATGCTGCTCGAGCTCGGTGTTTTCCAAGCCTTGCCTTGGTGATATGCGCTCCCGGGTTGTCCGGGTTTCCGTCCAGACCAGATTCCCATGCTGCCCCGGACAGAATCATCGAATCATGCAGCGACTTGTGATCGCAGGCTAAGGCCAGGACGTCTACTGACTGTATGCCATATAGTTGGGGCCGGGGCTGTTATACATGGCATGTTTGAAACTTGATAGCTTGGCGATAAGATGTGTCTTCTGCCGCTTGTTTACTGTAAGTGGGGCCTGGGATCTGTTGATTGAGCCGCTAACGGCTTGCTCATGGTTGACTTGCGAGGTGTTGTAATGAGGAGTAGACTAGGATCATACGCGGAAGCAGTTGCCCTCCTTGGAAGGCCTGAGTCCTTCGATGCCGCTTAAGCTTTGAATATTCTGGACGAAGCAAACACATGATTTCAAGCAGGTTTAAACTTCACCGGCGATGCCCTCGCCACGGAAAGGGACATCTCCTCAACACGAAGGTCCATCCCAAAGATCCGTCCGCAACAGGTTCGGCAATCCAAGTAATGAAAGGTCTGTCAGCAAAGGAGTAGAGCAGCTCTCCTGGTGCATGTAGAGTCTCCCACACAGTCTGTTCTAGCACAGACTCATTTCAAGGTTATGTACTTTCTGGCCAACACAGACTCATATCGTCCAAGCACAGAGTGCAAACGAGCTGATGCATCTGGATCTCTGCAGGAGGCAGTAAGCTGGTGTTGCGCTTAAGCAGGGTCGGCAGAAAAACTGTGAAAAAAGCTTGGCAGCCCAAGCCAGCAAGCTCGTAGCAGGTGGGAGAGACTCTGGCTCAATATGTCTGTGCAAAGCTTCCAGCAGGTTGAAGCTTTCGCTGCGATCCGCAGCTCCCCTTTCCTTGTGTTCTGAGCCCAGGTAGGCTGGGCAGAGAGCGATTCAGACTACGGAGTCGCCTCGATGGCTTGGCACCCACAACTCACACAGCGCTGCTGCAGTCCCTTCCGACACTGCAAGGTCGCATCATTGGATTACCCATCGGAGTCTGGAAATCTAACCGTCCTGCTCGTCGTGGAGGCCGGTGGAAGCGAGAGTTTCTAACTTTGTTCAGTGCCTGCACTGTGATAAATAGCTCGTCCACCCTTCCTTCAGGGGCTGCTTTGTTGCATGTGTCATGCATTCGTTGCCGTAGCAGTTTCAGTAGGTTCATTCACATACCAACAGTCCAAGTTAGCTCACGACGAAGATTTGGCGGCAGAGCGCGTTAGGAGATTTGGGCCCAACAACTGACAGGGATAAGGGCCATGGGTCGGGAATGATCATGACCCATGCTTGAAGTTGCAATTTGGCTGTGCAGGTCTCCTCACGTGCCGTTGCAGCTGCTATCTCAGGATTTGCAAGGGGCAGCTCTTGCGTGAGGTCGCACTATGCCTTGTCCGGCAGCCACAGTATGTTTACACTAATCCTCCTACAGCTCGGCGCTCTGTCACCTGTCTGAGCATTCTCAATTGGAAGTTGCATCATGAAAAGCAATTATGATGCTTGCAGCGTGTGTACTCTCGTTCCCAGTTCTAGATAGCATCTCAGCCGAAGTTGTACTCTGCGACGGTAAGGATCTTCAAGCGTCTGGTGCTGGGGCATTGCTTGAGTTGCGGTACCGCGGCAACTCGGCATATCAGCAGGCTTTGATTTCTGCATGCACAACATTTTGCGGAAGCATGACGCGATGATGTCGACGCAGATGAGCGGGCCTGTCAGAATATGCGAGAAGTTCTGGGTAAGCGTGACCAGTGGGTGAGAGAAGCGCACAATGCCTCCTCCTTGCTGGCTGCGCATTCGCTATCCCGAAGGCAACTCCGGGGCCACCACTTCCAGGCGCCGTTACAGCCGGTTTGTTTGACCTTGTCCAACTGCAATGCCGGAGCACCCCTGCAACGCGTCCGGAACTCTGCCAGTTCCATGGGGGACGAAGCTGGCCGCAGCCGCAGCAGACCGCAGCAGCAAGCAATGAGGACAGTTGCAGTCTCGGCAGATACTAGGCTCCAACCAAACTCCGTCGGACATGGTCTGGGCCCTGGGCCTCGCGTGGGTCTGAAGGGTTGTTTTGCGAGAAGTTGCACAGGCAGAGCAGGTGCTGTTTCGTTGTGATCTGGGTGATCCACCAGAGGCAGGCGCAGCTTTCGTAATGCCTGTGTGACTCATCGACGAACTCCTGCGAGGATGGTGGCTGGAGACAGGAAGGTGTATTTTGGTATCGGCTGGGTGGCTGGAGTCAAGTCGAGCTCCCGCAGATGTCCCAGCAACTCATAGAGACCAAATCCGCATATCCCATTCTGTTTCCGGCGCTGAGACCTGCGGCAGCTGTTACCATGCAGCCCTGCAGTGCGCCTGGATCCTCAAGAGTCGTGCATCCTGGCAGCAACTCCGTGTCGATATGGGATGCATGCGCTATGTTGAACACAGGCAGTCACATACTTCGTATCCAAGGTTTGAGATTGCGGACTTGACACCTGGGGTCCTCTCGATGACCATCGAGGCCAGCTGACCTGGCAGTTCTCTTTTAAGAGCGTTTGCTCTGGACTGCGGCCTTTGAGCTCAGAGCCGCGTGGTCGGCGAAAACGGCTCAGTCAACAAACCACGGTCCAACAGGGCCTGCATGGCGATGGCGCCCACCTACTCGCAGAAGAAGAGAGTTCGGGTTTAGGATTTGGGATTGCAGGCTGAGGCTCCGGGTCCCCCGGATTTCATAGTTGTGGTTTAGGTTTTAGGATGCCAGGGCTGAGGACTTTGGATTTAGTCTAGGATTCAGGACTTTAGGATGTAGGGTTTAGGATTTAGGAGTGCAGGTAGAGGGTTTAAGAACTGAGGGTTTAGGATTTAGGAGTTGAGCTTCAGCACTTCCGATTGAGGATTGGTGAACTGTTGCACCTGACACTGTCCAGCTTCATGTGGCGCCTTAAAATTGAGAATCAAAACCTTTTAAGCAAGTGGCGCCAGAAATTCCGCCAAAACTCTCCAATAAGTACCGCCGGGGACCATCGTGTAAGTGCTGCGCCAGCGATTGACGGCACCACAGCCCCATACGAATGTTGGAACTGTAATGCAAGTGCGACCGTGCCCGGTTGCAATCATAGCCAATCAAAGGCAAGACAACGACCTATGAAACCCATGCAAGACGTAAGAGTTCATCATGAAACACGATACCCACCATCGACCCAGCAACCGGCGTCCCCCCACATACCAACACATAGAACCTCACGCAGAAGGGGATTTCTCACACAAAAGTCGAGGCGACCCGCTTGAGAGGCAAACCTTAGACCCCCAGCCCCGACGCCTAAACAGGCTCCACCCGAAACAAAGCCTGCTGCCTGAACATTCGACAGCGGGCTGCAACCTTTGGCAGGGGTTGCATCTGTGCCAGCAGCGTCGTGCATCCGGGATGTCCACCCAGTCATTCTGGTCGTATGCCCCCATGCCACTGCTGATCGAATATCCCTTTTGCTGCAAAGCCAGCAGGAAGAGGATACACGACTGGACCCGAGGTTGTAGTGGACAAGTCCCAAAACACATCTCCAGACTGTGCTAGGGTGTAAGGAACCGGTGTGTTTGGTTCGCAGTGTAAGCACCTCGTGCTTGAGTTCAATCTTGTCGAGTGCGATCTAGCAAGAAGCCGTGGCGAAGAACAAGGCTGTGGAAAATGGCGGTGGTGGTGAGGATGGTCGTTGTTGCAGAAGCTGCAGTGGTGCCGGTTGGTCGCCCCTGCTGGTTTGTTTGCACCGTCGGCCTGGTGGTGCTCGCAGGAGCATCTCGGTTTCCCACCATTGCAGCCGTCGAAGTTGTCGCTGACACCTCTCTCTGTTTTTGCAGCTTTAGAGGGAAGACCGTCTCGAGGATGGGGGGAATGGGGACACGCCGAATTCACGCGCATGATGACAGTCTGGAAGGGGTTGAGGCTGCAGAATTCTGCTGGTAGATCTTGTGCTTGTGTGTGAAAGGTTTCGTACTGCATGAAGGCTTCAGGGTTGCTTCTTCTGGCTTGCGATCTTAAGACTTGAAAGGCGCAAGATACAGGCAAACAACGGGGTGACACACAAATCAGAAGCCTCCTAAAAAGTCGATCAGCAACAGTCTTTGGCAGGCTCAGTGATGGGACACGTGCCCTGCATTCTCCAATGCTCACGCTAGCGGCTAGCACTTCTGTTGGAAGCAGGCCGTCCTGTCCCTTTCCGATAGCGCGAGTTTGGACATGAACGCAGCCGTGAGCTTGGAGCCGACATTGACAGCAAGCAGCCAGGGGCTGTGACAGATTGTTGACAGTGGACAGTTTTTTGAGAAAGGTCGCTCGCTGGGACGTGACATTGTCGGCTTCTGGCGGAAGTATCGTTGACATGTGCGCCGGGCTGATGCCGCCCCAGCTCCACGGGAGAGTGACAGAGTCTCGAGGTACCCTGGCCTCGAAGCAGAGGGTTGGTGGGGCAGAGCTTGGGCCCTCCGGCCCTTGCTCCTTTCCTGGGAGGGTGCGCACATGTGCGCGCCCTGTGGCGAAAACCAGAGAAGCTGCAAGCTTTGCGACCAGGTACGAGTTCTCCAGGTGCCCAGGCGATCTTCTGAACGAGCTGATGTTTCTTAGCTTGCGTGGCTTGCATCAGCAGTCAGGTCCCTGTACACGTCTTGTTTCGAAAGCAAGATGGAGATGCTCCGCAGAGCCCTGCCTGCAGACACGCACATGACACCTGCGTTGGCAAGAGTACTCTTTCGTGCCACACCAGGTCTTCTTGCAAGCAGTTCGCTGAAAGCGCTTTGCCGAAAAGCCCGCAAAAAGCTACTAGTCAACCCTGCTTATTCTCAAAATGCTGATTTTTCGCAAAGCCATGTCCCACGCTAACAGAGTTGCAAGGATGATCTGTCTTGGGTCTCCGTCCAAGTTTGGAGGAGGCCGGGCACACGGCTGTCGCTGCGTGCTTGCGTGCTGTGCCCGGAAAATACATCTTGGCGGTGGCAGTTGGCGTGCTTTGTGCACAAGGTTTTTGCATGACACACGAGTTGTCACTTCACAGGAGCAGACTCGGATGCGGGATTCACCATTTCGACGCTAAGTGGCGGCACGATGCAGCCTGGCCGCAAACAGAAGATCCAGAAACATGTCAGAACTGTAGAGGCCCAGGGAAGTTGAACAGCACCCTCCAGGGCAACGCCATAAACCTTGAAGACGCAGAGCGCAGAGGTTCGGTCTTGGCGGTGCACTGAGCTCTCAGGACTGAAAGTTTGGGGCTCTTGCCCGATGGTTGGGCATGGATTACGGAAGCGGAGGCCCACAAGCTTTGACGGACTGCAGTTGTCATCTGTCAAGTCGTATGGAGCACGGTGGACCAAACATGCACAGGTGACGACTGCTAGCGTTTGCCACTCACTAAGTTGCTGTTGCCGCTGCTGGTTTACTCTGCTTGAATTGGATGAGACCCCGGACTCTTTCTCAGGCCTGGTGACAGACGCAGCAAACATCACAAACTCACCTGCTGGAACTCGCTTTTCGTTTACTGCTGCCTGGCTGTTTGAGCATGTTTGCGAATCTTCCCGCCAAACCACGGAGACTCGTGCATGAGGTCTTGGTGTCCTTGCCAGACGAGAGCAAGAACTGGCCTGTGTTCCTCTCAGAGTTCAGGTAGTAACATGTAGTAACGTAGTAACCAGGTATAGTAACTGGCGCTACAGCGGCGCTACAAACAACCAGACATTGTCCCTCGCATGAGGTTGACGAGCTTTGGCATCTGCACTTCTGTCGTCCGACGTGTGGCAACTCCTCCAGTGGTGAGGTGAGCTGCATTGTCCGATAGCGACAATCGTGATGCAGAGTGCTGATGTAAACATCTAGCCTGCGTTTGAGAAGTTGTGGTAGCCGCTCTTCGCTCTCTCGCCAGGCAGACACCTTTTACCTGTCAGGCTTCTTGCCGGGCGAGGCCTCTCGACATTGCCATGTGAACTGTAGTGATCCTGCTTCTCCGTGCGAGACGTACCCGGGCTGGGAGCCCGTGCAGACCAACGGCAAGCTTGAAGGCCGAGGTGTGGGGTTGGCAGCCTTGGTGTTCACAATTCTCGCTCTTCACCAGTATGTACAAACGTAGCGCAAGGGCGAAATAGCAAGGCGCTACATGCGTAAGCGTGGATAATGCGTGCCTGGCCTGTACATAGAGGTGTTGCGGGTCATTGGATAGCCCAACACGGGCAGATCCGATGCCCCGGCACCGCACCGCAGCAGCACCGCCAACCCAGCGCCCCTGGCCAGTTCGCCGGAGCGGTTCGAAAAGAGAGAAGCGCGTTAAACACAACCACACGCACACATACACGCAAGCAAGCAAGCAAGCAAGCAAACAAACAAACAAACACACAAACACATACACATTCAGACGCAGACAACAAGACTTAAACTGTGTGTTCAACTCTACCAGGATTTGGGCCTGCAGTGCATGTGGACAAGCGGCTATGCACACGTGGCAGCATGGCCGATGCCAAGTCGTTCTTTTCTCTCTGCCGCCTGCTGAGATGTTCTGCTGAACGGAGTTGGCAGCTGTAGGATGTAGGGGGACCAGTAGGGTTTGCTGAGGCCAGAACCTTACACTCGCTGATTCTGATGTTGTTGTTCTTGGTCTGGAGTTTAGCAGGGGCATTGGGCTGAGGAGTCCTATCCTCCTCGTCCAAATGTCGCAAACCGGCAAGTCAAAGAGAAACCAGCGCGAGAGCAATTTGGCCGTCCCTTGGATTCAGAAAGCTGGCTCGATTTTGTTGCTAAACCGCCGTGGTGTCCTGGCCCGAGGAAAAGTACCAGACGGACGGCCCCTTCACCACGGCACCAGGGCACCGAAAGCCATCGCTGTATATCTGAGCACTTGCATCGAACACATCCGACTGTTACGTGCACATTGTAGCAAAGCTTTTCTGTGGTCTGACAATGAATGGTTTGCGCGAACTGATGTGCATGCCGTGCTGGTGCTGCATTTCACTATCTAGTTGCCGACGCGTGGGGATAGAACGGTCCGTTACTTGTGTTGTAATGTTTCTTCTGGTTTGTGAGTCTTTTTTCAGTGGTCTTTGCATCATGGCCTGACCTTGCCTTTGTTGATTTTCAACCTGTCATGAACTCGCAGTCATGAGAAGGGACGGGTTGGGAGGCTTCTTTTGCAATTGAAGGGTTCATGTGGTGCGGTTTCCTTGCTTCGACTTGAGCATGTCTGTCTTCCTCGGAAGGGAGTGAAAAGTCGTGGCCTGAGGTAATGATTCGAAACATTCCTACGGAATACACACAGGATGAACTGATCATGGAAGTGAGCGAGGCCCCATGGAGCTGTGTCGAGCTACTCTGTTGGAAATGGTTTGGCATGTTTGAAGGTCATGGGATCACCTCACTTCTTTGACTTCTTCTATTTGTTGGAACCTCAGCACCTTCGACTTGGGAACTTCGTTCAGTCAAGCTTTGGCGCTCGGCTGCGGCCGCATCGCTTTGTTGGGCCGTCTGTGCTTCTCCCTTGCTTTCCTGAGGCCGTGGGATACGCAAAATGACTGCAACATCGGTCGAGCAGCGAGTTTACCTGCGATCCTCACGTTGGTGCAAAAGGTGTTATGCAAGACAGCCTAGCATTGGATGATCGTATTGTCGTTACCATCCTTTCCCAAAAGAATGTCCGTGACTGCACTATTTCGGTTCAGCTTGAAGTGTCGCTTCATGGCCCTGTCTTCTGTCGACCGTCCTTGCCAGGTTATGTGTTCGTCAACTTTCCAGACCCTGCAGCAGCTCAAAACGCTGTCGGGGCCCAAGCTCATCACAGCTCGAAGATGCTACGACGAGCCAATAGCTTATATCATAGCTCATATCAGTCGACCCTCAACTTTCGAATTGTGCCCACGACGTGTGATCTCCCGGCTTATGAATCCCGGCATGCCAAGGACGGATCGATAATGAAGCTCTCCTAGTCTAGACTCCCGGCACACCCACTCACATTGGGCTGTGATGTTTTGCTGAGGTTCGAGCCTTTTCCAATTATCATTTCCGTCTTCACGATAGCAAGAAGGTGCGCTGCCGGAGACGCCTAGCGTTGGCGTTCGGCTGCATGTGCACTGCATGTGATGTGTTGTCGTCAGTATTAAATGCTTCCTCCTTCAGGTTGGCAAAGTATCGCCAGCGCACATCCAGGTAGTGGCTTGCGTACGAATCCGTAGGGCAAGTTGGTCCCGCGCGATGCGGCACATCCGTGTGCAGCGCATGTCGTACGATGACCCCAGCTTCGTCAGGGCCTCGAGAACAACCTCAGGCACCTCCAGGCAAGTGCTTAGCAACAATCTCACGTTGGGGCACACGTGCAGGGATGGGCGTTCGCAGGATCGAGCTGTCGTGCTGGGCAACCATCCTTGCAGCCCCATAGTAATGTGGTAGCTTGGCTTGCATCTGGTGTGGCAGTCCATGGTTTCTGCCAAGACCTTGTCCCCTGCCGTGGGCGCGGATCTGCATGTTAGCATGTTGGTGTTTACTATTGCTGAGGAAGGGGCAAAAGGCCTGTGCAACAACGACGGTTACTGTGCAGAGAGCGTTCGCTGCTGACGGCCGTTTCATGTTTCATGGCCTTGGAGGTGGAACTGAGCCTCATATTTCAAGAGCTGAGGACCCAGGAGCCTCGGCATGTTGCCTCATGGATAGCAACATCGGATAGCTCTGCAGCGCACCAGGACACCTTGAGAAAGTTTGAGAGCGGCCACAACTCCTCTCCTGGTGAAGCCCTCGAGAAGCAAACGGATCTTGCTGTGGTTCTTGTGTCAAGAATGTCGAAGGCCACATCCAGGCACAGAGCGACCTCGCCCAGGCTCAATGGGAAATAAGGGAAGGAAGAGCGAGAGGCACAGACGATACGGAGAGGGGGAGACGTCGAGGATGTCGTTGCATGTCGTTGCACTTTACATGTCTGTTGTACGGCAGTCCCAGTTTTTGCTCACTGCACACCCACAGCAAACACACTCGGCAATGCCCGCGGCCAGCTGACTCCACTCGCAAACTCGCTGAAGACAAGCCGATGCGAGTGAAACACGGACTCAACGGGAGAACGACGAGGCGGGGACTAAAACGTAGTAGCCCGAGTAGGGTGACTTTCGGGGCTGTGCAGCCACCGTGCTCCCTTGAGTCCGAAAACTTGTATCGCACACACCGGACGAGGACACACGCGTAGCGCTGCACGCAGGGGTTTTATGCCGAGAGAGAATGAGAGTACGGCGGAGTGCTTGCCGGCCAAGGCGGGGTTGGGGGTATAGCGCGGCTAACCGACAGGGGGGCAGCCCATCGGACGCATTCAGAAAAGACCCAGCGGGGGGAGTTCGCGCAACCAAAGCAGCGACTGTGAGGTCATGTGCATGGGGCTGCGCTACCAGGCGCGTCAGACAAGCTGGTCGCCGGGGACACACAGGTCGGAACAGCGGGTGGGGGTGACTTTCCGAGCCGGTTGGGTGGTTTAGCGCCCGATGCGGGTATGCCAGCATCAAGTCTGGGGGCAGCTAAACATGTTGCCAGCGTAGAGCCCTTCGTCCTTCATCTGGGCTCAATATTATGTCGGGAATGGGCGATGTCGGACATTGGTCTGGTCCAGTGAAGTAAGCTTCTGATTGTCTTGGTGGTGTTGCCGCGTTGTTCTGAATTCGCTCACGACCGGCACGAAAGTGCACCGCACAGGATGCTCCCTCCCCTGAGCCCGCAGAAAGAAAGAGAGGGCCAGCCTTTTAACAGCCCCCGTAACTTGAGGCAAGGAGAAAAACGTAAAGAGTACGAGAGGGAGGAAGCCTGAAGCCTTTCTGCTGTCATTTACCACTTCCCGGGAATGCTGTGACCCACTTGTCGAGTCTCGCGAGGTGTGAGGTCTTCCGTTTTGCTGCGGGAGAGACAGAGAGTCAGAGGTCAGACAAGGGTGAAGTCGTTAAGAAATGCTGCAATGCTGCAATGACATGTGATGGTTCTAAGAATGAGCTTGATACGGACAAAATAGGACAAGAACACCCTGCCATAATGACAGATAGGATGGGACATAGAAGGACTAAAGATCAGTTTACAGTTTAGAGTGTCTTTGGGTGTCGAAGTGTCGGAACCCGAGGCCGCAGCCGAAGCCTTGAAGGCGCCAGCACCAGCGAATGTCGGCGAGGCGAATGCTGTGCAACGGAAGAGGGTAAAAGAGAATGAGTTTTGGTTCCCTCCAGACCTTCGCTGCCCTGCTGGACCGCGCGGCGGGCCTTTCCCGTTCGCAAGGTTCGTGACTGGAGCGTTCAATTTGAAGTTGATCCCGACCCCCCCAGCGCAAAGGTGCAGCGATGAATCCTGGTTTGGTGATGCCCTACATGCAGCGGGCAAGCCTGATCAGAGTTCCGAACTTTTTGCGGGGGCTGTTGTCTCAGACACTGAGTCAGGCAGCTCAGGGAATACAACAAGGCCTCGCCGGACAAGTCGACGCATTCCAAGTTGTGTGCAGCTGTGACGTGTGATCATCCCAAGCTAGCACACCATGCAGGCGGTCAAGGCATTTTGTCACCTCCTGGATCCGTTGGGTCGAACTACAGTATGGTGACTGCGCAAGGCGGGTGTGGCATTACGAGGGTGTCGAGGGGCAGATCGGGAGGGACGCTGCATGGTGCAGGGGGTGCATCACCTGCTGCCGCAGCTTACAATCGCATGATGGCAGCTGGAGCTCAAGGCTTGTGAGAGGGTCAGACCCTTGCACGGAGAGACTGCAGACAGCACAGTTGTGTTGGGGCCATGGGGCCAGGCTACAGCAACAGCCACCCGGGCCAGCCTGGCCTTGGTCAGGCGGTAAATCTTTTGCAGACGGGGACTCAGACCCAGACCCCAGTCACCCACCCTTTCAGAGCAGCCTGCAGCCTCTGTGCCTTGGAAGGTCGGCAGTGCCTTGCCAGAGGCCGCCTGGCTCCGACAAGGGGGTCTCCATGGGCCCACCGCCTGGCCAGTTCTTTGCAAGGCACGGCACGCTGCTACACTTGCGCTCTCTCTCTCTCTCTCTCTCTCTCTCTCTCTCTCGCTGCAGCTGCAGCGAACAGCATGATGTGCGTTACGTTGAATTCTCATGACTCTCTTTGGTGGAGG